TCGATAGCAATAAAGTTGGACGCAAGGGTCACAGTCCTGCTATCCATCCACCTTGTTATCGCTATATTTCCATCAGCGCTGACCACGCAGTCTCAAGAACCGCGGGCCGCTTTTTTTCAGTTCTTTTTCAGTCTTCAAGGGGCACTTTTCACACCTGTCCGATCTTATAGTGCTGGTAGCAAATATTGTTTTACCCAGCATTACACGGAGCAGTGGCAGGGACGTAAAGTAGTTGTCAAAAAAAGTCTGGCGCCTTGAATAATTTTCGTCTCCAGCCACCAGATGTGTTCAGTGCACTCTCGTCATCGGAGCTTTCAGTGTCGCTCTCCACTGGATCTTCATCAGGAGCACAAGGCAACACACTCTCGTCGTCTGATTCATCGAATTCCCTGTCTACGTCGGATAGGTTGCCGTTGTCGAGCTGCTCAAACAGCGCTTCCGTTGTTGCTTGTAGCCGTGTGGAACGGGTTCGGTGACACGAATACAACGAAGTAACAGGTATACCTGCACCTGCAAACATAAAAAAACAGGTTAATTAACATACCGCGTCAGCATTCGTTCAGATATCGCTCGTCAAAAACACGCATTACAATCGACTCGGACACCGCCATTTGCAACCATTGAGCCCTGATGGTGTCAAAATCGTACATGACAAAAGCATGCCACTGCAAAAATGCTGCACATGCAAACAAAAAAACTCAAACGTCTTCCAACTAACGTACTACTAAGGCACAACATACAAAAAACTGGGCACATAATCCAAAAGAATTACGTAGCTACAATTGCAGAAAATCGGAACTCACCCGGCTCCGCGTTCGCCATGATGTTGTTGTTGTTGTTGCCCCTTCGCACTGGCACATACCCACTATGGGGGATTGGCCATGAAATCTAGAAGTATCCTATATGAGATATATTAAAAGGTTTATCCTTAATGAAAAAACTAATGATGTAATAGAAAATAATAATTAACTTAAAAGGAATATTAAACTAAACAAATAATTGAAGATTGAATCAAGAAGAGAAAAGGTGAGGTAATACTACAGTGGAAGACAGAAATTTTGAGTAGACCAGACAATCGAGCTTATCTCACCCGGTCACAATCAAATGAATATGCAAATTTCATTCAAAATTAGACAAGTGTCTTCAGAAATATATTTAAGCAGGCATTATTATGACATGCGCTTTGATTCTCGAATGAAATTGCATACAGCATCGAATACGCTCCTGTGGCAATGTCCCAAGCTAAAGGCACCGAAACTTAGAACATTATCTGCAGTTAAATTTAAACCTACTGCTTGAAACGGAACAATTAAAAGTCTTTTCCTAATTAATGAATAGTTTTTACATGTTATAAAGTAATGCTCTATTGTTTCCGTTTCTTCACAGAATGGACACAGGGGGGATATCGCCAGACCAGCTCTGTGCAAGTAAAAGTTTAATGGAGGGACACGACATCGAAATTTGGTTAAAATAACTTCTAACTTTTTAGATTGACTCCACTGAGGTTTCCAGGGGTATGTTAGGTGCTGATAGTCCGTATATTTAGTAATATTTTCCATAATATCCGTATAAATAGCCCATTTTCTATATCTGATCGACACTATGTGTTCCGATTCTGGTAGTACCGAGATCACAGGGCCATCAAGTGTGGCTCGAGATAGTGAATCGGCTATTTCATTCAACCGTATGCCACAGTGTCCCGGGACCCAGACTAACTTCAGGAACTTCACATGAGGTGGAACTAATGTTTGTAATGTCGCTAGAGCTCTTGATTGTTCTGAAGCTGTGAGAGTAGTACACAGCGAAAGAGAATCAGTAATTATCATTGCACTCTCTTCGTTTGAAGGAAGTTTTCGTAGCGCTAAAATAATAGCCAGGAGCTCAGCTTCGAAAACCGGAGTGAAGTCTGGTAGTCTTACCGAGAATGACCAACCGAGGTAATCTGAGACGATTCCTACTGCTGCCTTTTCTTTATTCACAGAAGCGTCTGTGGCTATTATGTTCTTTATTTCCGCATGAGCTATGTAGTCTTCTAACCTGTCATTTAAGTAACTCGAAGATTGAAACTTAGATAGTGGGGGAAAAATTTCATCACATTCTATCGTAATATTGTGATTTAATGCTTTGGTTCCAATTACCGATCTGATATCCACCTTTATGCTTTCAAGTTTCTTTTGTACAAAAATAATCTGGGGAGTACGAAAGCGTGGCCAGTGAGCGAGGAAGAAGGCGTCGGGGTCACTAATAAAGGCATATGCAGACCGTCTCGCTGATAAGCCGTAAAATTTCAAGTATGTTTGTACTGTTAAGATACGGAATCGGCAAAGAATAGTTGGTATGCGAGCTTCCTGATATAGTACATTAATAGCGACATACCTGGGGAGTCGCAAACACAACCGTAACGCTTCTCGCTCTAATAGAACTAACGGTTTAATTTTGTACGTAGGGCCACCCGAAAATAATATACACCCAAATTCGAGTATTGGGCGCATGTACATTTTATATATCATTAATAAGGTGTGTCTACGTAACCCATATTTCTGTTGCTCAACCTTCGCAATAAGCCTGAAGCTCGTTGTGCCTTTGCCACGTTATAGTCTATGTGAGGGCTCCAGTTAAGTTTCTCGTTATAAATAATGCCCAAATATTTGATAGACTCTACTTGTGGAATCGGTTCCTGATTATAAAGTACTGAAATTTGAATAGAATCTGCTATAGGGAACACCAGGAGCGCACTTTTACTGATGTTTAGAGACAATGAAATTGAATGCAGCCAAATTTCAAGAGAATACATGTACTTTTGCAATTTTTGATGCAAAGAATAAATGTCACTGTCTGCAACGAAAAATGCAATGTCGTCTGCATAAATGTAGACAGTGATATCTCGTTCAATGGGAATTGAGCTCATCAACACATTGAATAACAGCGGAGATAGGACCGCCCCTTGAGGTACTCCACGTTGCTGTTTGAATTTAGATGAGTGACATCCATCCTTTGCACAATAAAATTCTCTCGATTTTAGAAACTCTGCTACCCAATCAACAATATATCGCGGAAAGTCACATTCGTGTAAAGAATTCAATAAAATTGAGTGCTCAACGCTATCATAAGCTTTAGCTATGTCTAGTGTTACTAGTACCGCGTATTGTCGTCTTTTTCGGGCAAGCTGTATTCGGCTCTCTAAGTCGGCATGAGCACACCAAATTGAGCATTCGCTACGAAAACCTATTTGAAATGGTTTCAATATTAGCTTGTCAGCCATCCAAACTTTTATTCTATTATTGAGAACTCTCTCTATAATTTTGATCAGGTGAGATGTTAGAGAGATTGGTCTGATGTTGTCAATGTTAAAACCTGACCCTTGTTTTTTTAATATGGGAATCACTCTAGCTATTTTCCAGTCATGTGGTATCCAGGCATTGCTTAAGGAATAGTTTATAAGGTTGAGGACGTCGCCGGGTGATATCTGGAATAAAATTTTAATCATAGGAACTGTTATACCGTCAGGACCAGGAGCCGAAGAGGGTAAGTTTCTAATTACGCTTGACATTTCGGACAATGTCACTTTTTCGTAGTCAGTCTTTATAGAGGACTTTTGCCAGTTGATTGTCAAAGTCGACGAAAATCTGTTAGCTAAACCTCTTCCGATTGCCTCTAACGAATTAGTCATTTCTTCCGTCGATAACCTGTCATAATCAGAGTTAGCTAGAGACGGCAGAATTTTGCGCGATCTCATATATCGGAATAACGCTTTCTTATTTCTAGGTTTGGAAAGAAAGTCGAAATGTTTTTTGTCATAGTCTTCTTTAGCTTTAGCCACGGTGCGCTTAAATGTAGCAGCAATAAACTTGTAATCTGCCCAATTTTTGGGGGACTGATTATGAATTAGCTGCTTCCAAGCCGCTTGTCGTCGTCTATGATCACGAGAGCACTCAGAATTCCACCACTGACTACAAGGCTTTCTCGTATCAGACTCAATAGAAAATTCTGCTTTTTTGAACGTTCTTTTAATTACCGCACTTAATTTCATGGCTTTATTTTCATCGTTGTCTTCGGTGGGGGTAATTTGAACTTCAAAGCGCCGCTGGTTACGGAGATAGAAGTACGGTGTCAAAAACGTACATCAGGGCTCAATGGTTGCAAAGTGAAATATGTGGCAGCTTTATTGAAAAATACATTGGGCAATTCAAAATCACCGAAGTGATCAAATAGATGAAAAAGAGATGTTATACACGCATACGGAAAGCCCTGAAACAATTTCTCGACTTTGTTATGCACAGGTAAACCTTGCATTTCTCACACTATAGGCGGGTTCTTCCTGTGCAGCCTTCCATCTTGCATCTTCTTTCCCTCGTTTCGTCGTGAAGTGGGAAATGCACCAGCTGATCAAACCTTACATCCTCGATAGGTCTGTTTTCTGCTTTCCCTCGGGTGTTTTGAAACCTGCAATGGTGACAGTGAAGGCCTTCCCCTCTTAGGTGCCACTGGCTTCGACCCAGCTGCTGACAGGCCCTCAACGACTCTGAGTGAAGTCGAGCAGGTCAAGCTGCTTAGGGCGGTTCTGTTTGTCTGCATCACGTCTGTACTCAAGCCGAGCGTTCACCACCGCGAGGTTCATAATATGAAACGTCATTCTCAACGTCCACTTTCGGGAGCGAATGGTAGTCCGATAAAGGGAAATCTGGAAGTCTAGTTTATCGACACCGCCCATGCTGTGGTTGTATGCATTGATGACTGCTGGTCCCTTCACGTCCACGTAAAACTTTTCCGCTTTGTTCCAAAGACGAACGCTATCTTCGTTCTCGATAGCAATAAAGTTGGACGCAAGGGTCACAGTCCTGCTATCCATCCACCTTGTTATCGCTATATTTCCATCAGCGCTGACCACGCAGTCTCAAGAACCGCGGCCGCTTTTTTTCAGTTCTTTTTCAGTCTTCAAGGGGCACTTTTCACACCTGTCCGATCTTATAGTGCTGGTAGCAAATATTGTTTTACCCAGCATTACACGGAGCAGTGGCAGGGACGTAAAGTAGTTGTCAAAAAAAAGTCTGGCGCCTTGAATAATTTTCGTCTCCAGCCACCAGATGTGTTCAGTGCACTCTCGTCATCGGAGCTTTCAGTGTCGCTCTCCACTGCATCTTCATCAGGAGCACAAGGCAACACACTCTCGTCGTCTGATTCATCGAATTCCCTGTCTACGTCGGATAGGTTGCCGTTGTCGAGCTGCTCAAACAGCGCTTCCGTTGTTGCTTGTAGCCGTGTGGAACGGGTTCGGTGACACGAATACAACGAAGTAACAGGTATACCTGCACCTGCAAACATAAAAAAACAGGTTAATTAACATACCGCGTCAGCATTCGTTCAGATATCGCTCGTCAAAAACACGCATTACAATCGACTCGGACACCGCCATTTGCAACCATTGAGCCCTGATGGTGTCAAAATCGTACATGACAAAAGCATGCCACTGCAAAAATGCTGCACATGCAAACAAAAAAACTCAAACGTCTTCCAACTAACGTACTACTAAGGCACAACATACAAAAAACTGGGCACATAATCCAAAAGAATTACGTAGCTACAATTGCAGAAAATCGGAACTCACCCGGCTCCGCGTTCGCCATGATGTCGCCACTGCTTCTTCTTCGTTGTCGATTCGGTGCTCGAGAAAACACGAAAATACTGATGTCTATGGCAGTAGGTGGGCCGAGACTTCACATTGGGCAAAAAATTGCGAGTTTTTGTTTCGATTTCTCGGCGTGGCGGTACCATTTCTCGTGTGGTGTCAATTGACACCGCCAGGGCCGAAAGGGTTAATGTAATGCGACCATTTATCCCCGAACGGCAGCTTAACTGCCCCGAACGCATACTTGTAGCAGCTTCACAACGCATTCATTCATGTCGTTACCCTGTTACCCTTTGCCAATTGCTCCTCCTACCGGTTTACTACCTTAGGACCTCCTCCTGCATACTTACTCACAATGTACACTTCTGATGCTAATAAAGAAACATTGATTGACTGATTGATGACGTTGGCAAAAAGTAAAAAGAAACAAATTAACATAATAAAGTGGAAACCTTCAAAAATATTAAAACGAATGACTTCTGGTTGGTTTCGAATTATAGGAGAATACGCACAAAATCACCTTTTGAAGTTATTGTTCTAGCGAAAATACACGACCAATGAGCGTACTGTCTTTCATTGTGCCGGGATACCGCCGCCATGCACCTCGTAGCTTCCACGGCAACTAGCACGCGTACTGCGTTCACAAGCAGCACGCGTACTGCGTTCCCGCTTTTGTCCCTGTCTTCGCATCACAACAAGATCCTGTGATTTCATCGAAGCCGCAGGTCATCCGTCGTGCTCAAGGTATGATAAAAGATTGAAAAGATGAAAAATTTTCGGAAGTGGGCTGTTCCAATAACTGGTTTTACTACCTCTAAGAAGTAATTAGTACTTGACACTTTGGCTCAAGCAACAGCCAGTGTTCAAGCATTTCTCATGGCTTCACAAAGGAACATTTAGCTAAAAGATAACTCGCCACGTTCCATATCCATCACAATAAAGGGACCGCCAACTGATTTTTTTCGACCCACTTTTTCCAACGCCACCAAAAGCTTACCCTTCAGAGTGTTTGCAGCTGCAGTAGTTACTCCTAATACCATATAGTTATTTTTTAAGCAGTATTTTTCGATTTGAAAGGCTCTGAACATCGATGTCCTTTGTTTTCGAGCAACGCTGGGAATCGATAGTGATGCCGGTAGTTCTTTTAGCGACTTCTGCATGCTTGCGCAAAAAAAAAAACGCTTTTAAACAGTAGATATCGAGTGCCTGCATTATGCTTTTCCTGAGGCCTGTCCCAACGTGTGTGCGGCTCACGGTCGAACCTGCCTCTTTAGGAAAATCGGTCGCTCAGCACTCCAAGAAAGTTTTTGGACTGAGTGACTGATGCCACTTTTGAGCGGGATTAGATAAGTGCTGTGTCCAGCTGTATGTCAACTATCTCAGCTCCCACAATGGTAAAATCATGACCTTCGGCGTTACTTGTCGAGATGAAGTTGTGCCATTTGGCTTCAATCTTGATGCATTCAAGTAAATGATGCTGTACCTGCCAAAATTTTATACATATTATGCAAGTTCTTACATATCATCATAGAATAAACAATAAAGTGCAACTTCTGTAGAGACTCAGTACCTTTTCTAATTAACTACTATTTTCTACGATGCAGATACTACCATGTATTTTATTGTTTTTAATGTAATGCGACCATTTATCCCCGAACGGCAGCTTAACTGCCCCGAACGCATACTTGTAGCAGCTTCACAACGCATTCATTCATGTCGTTACCCTGTTACCCTTTGCCAATTGCTCCTCCTCCCTCTAAGAACACGCCTACCCCTTTTCCCTCTCCCACCAATTTTATTGTAAGCTTCATCCTTTGATTCATGGGACTTACTTGCTAACATTCAAACTACGACGCGAGGCGGTAATTACCAGGAGTGCGATTAGGTGCCGTAATTCGACAACACATACATTTTGTATCGTGACAGAGATTTATTAACCCGTTTGATTGTTGAAGCAACAGAAATGACACGTGGAGAATTTGAGCGTGCTAGTGCACCTTCTGTTTTACTCAAGTGGAAAGAAACTTTGGGTGGTGTGATTGGTAATAATCGACTAGTAATGTATGGCACTTCACGTGCACTTTTTGTTGTTGCTGCCTTTTACTTTTCTTTTTCTTCTTTCGCCCCTTTATATACTCTGACGTTTTTAAATGAGCGTTTGGCTGAAGTTAAACGCTTGTGTCTTGCGTTCTTATGTAAACGTTGTGTGCTTCCTAGCAAGACAATCATTACCAGAAAGCCTGCCGTAATCCCCGCTCTCCTGACTGCCTCTTACATTGTTGGCTTGATACCGTTCCGGCCGTCTCATAACCTATCCGTCACCGTCGTGCTTGGGATTGTTTATCCAAGAAAATGGGAGAAAAAACCTTGCCCTCCTTGTTCCGTTCCTAAAGCCTCGCGTATCAGGCACGTTATGCCCGAGATAGACGGCTGTTGTCTTCGCCAGCAATGAGAGTCAGAGCATTGCGAATGGCCGAGAGTGCAAACAACGAATGTGGCAGCGCAGAGGAGAGGGGAAAGGACGGACACTGGCATTCACCGTTTCGCGGCATTGTCCGATGAGCAAGGAAACTGATAAAGAGAACCTATGCTCGCGAGAGTACTGCGATAAAGAGCCCGCGGCTTTAGTGCACGGTCCACGCTTTGTGGTTACCTCGAACGGGCACGCCTCCATCTGCCAGCGTAGAGCCCTTAGGAGCTGGAACCTAAATAGAACACGGGGTGGCAGTGTTTCGCAACGAGTGGGCAGCATTCTCTCCGGTGCCCCAAACCCTAGCTCTCAAAGAACCTGTTCACACAGATGCGAGCGGGAAAAAAAAATAGACACACGTGTTTCAAGCAGCGAATGTATTGGCAACGCGTCTCATTCAGACTGATTCAAGACTCGTACTCCTTCACTTGCGTTCTCCCACTCTTTGCCTTAGGCAGCGTGGTAATGAATTCTGCACATGGGTACCATCCCTGCTAGCGATTGTCACCTTGGAGGATAATTGTGGGTATTTTGGCAATTTGTTTTGATGTCGCGGCTGTTCTTTTCAGCAGGCTTTCTCCTGTCGCTCTCTCGACAGGGTTTTAGAGTGTGAAATCTTTCGCTCTGTGCGCTCTCGCGATAGCACGCAGCAGAATACGGAGAAAATATACTGCCGCCCTCACTAAGCAACCTCTCCAGGGTCTGTACCTCAAATTTCAGCCCTAATTAATCACGCTGCTTTCAGAATCAATCAATAATTACTTCTTTGACCTAGCATTTCTGGAGGAATGTGATAAGAAAACATTTTTATCCTTAATTCGCGACTTATGCAGCAATGTTTGTTAGCGCTGACAAGACAGTATAAGAACTGAAAGTGTTGTTTTGGCATATATAAAATTGGTTTTTTCCGCAAAGCGAGTACACCACCAGCGGCGAAGACAGACAAAAAAGCGTAAAGAAGGAGTGCTAACTGCAAGCAATGTTTTCTGCAGCCCTGTAGGGTGTTCCAAGATACATAAAAAATCAATTATGTGGTTCAAACCAAGTAAGGTTACCATTGTTCAAACCTCCCATAGTTCATTATTTATGTTTTAAGACCTAGACACATCACTGCTAGAAAAAGAATTATCATGGCGCTAGTGCACTAGCACTAGCCTTGCGCATTTTGAGTAAACTTCAATTTCCTATCACTAACCGTTGGTGTATTTGTTGTGGGAAGTCGTCGACGTATTAACTGTCCTCTAATTCTTGGGTGTTACTTCAGCTCTGTTCCTTTTCTCATTTGATTCAGGATAAGGCTGCAGTCACTGAACAAAAAAAAAGGATGAAAATTTTGTAAGCACGTGAACACGTGAACGTGCACCAAGTATTCTGCGCTAAAGCTTCACGACACAGAAAGAAGCTTGAAAGAACTCTTTCACCTAGTCCGAGCCTGTACCTGCTCAATTCAAAGGGCATAAGCGTGGGAGATGAATGCTCTAGACTAATTTTACTGTAAGTATAGGTTTCCACTAATTTATATACGCTCGTACTATAAACCAAGCAAATCAAAGTAATCTCACCACCGCAGATACCATGTGGTTACATTTCTCAGTGTGTTCCAAGGTTCGGGCGCACGTTAGTTAACAAACTCTAGGTGGTCAAAATTTGCGGAGTCCTCCACTATAGCGTGTCTCATCAGAATTTCATGATTTTGTACGTATAACTGTAGTTATTATTACTAAAAATCATCATAGTCCTCCTTATTCGTCTGCGTTTTGGGATTGACTTCCATAGTTGTAATTTTTTTTCACTTACGTGTGTATTTCCGGACCTTTGCGGTAGAGCAACCATATTCGAGTGCTGCCCTCCGGCACCCTGCTCATCGAGGCAGCTGGGGCACGTGACTCCTTGAACTACACCGGCCTCGCGAACAATCTGTACGGAAGGGACGCCGTACAATACACAGTACGAGTGCACGGTAAGCATTTCTTTCGTGTTCTTCTCCCCTGCCCTTTCTGTCTGCTGTCACTCACCTATACGTACTATTTAGTGCAAATGAACCACCGATATATGTTACACCAATGTATGCGTTTTACTCGCATATGCTTTGATGTATGCTTTGATGTCGAGTGAGGGCGCTCGCATCGCGGGAGCTCCGCGAAGCTCCCGCATGTGTAGAGAGAGTATACGAGAGGATAGATACGTGCTTGGCCAGTTCTTCTCTCGCCATTCGCTCCTAAGTGTATATTATTGGAATAAAGCGCGTGCTTCACTCCCAACTGTTCGCTGGCTGATGAATGTGTAAATAAGTGGTTTCGACATAAATTTTCGTCTCGTCATTTATTTACGCCAGTAGAATTACTACGCCATTTACTCTCGGCACAAGCAATGCATTCGTATTTTCTCAGATTACCTTGAGGTTGGTGGGGGCGATTTTTCCTTGGTTCCTATTCAATTACGATGGCCACCGCTGCCACCGACGATAGATGTCGTTACGTGAACTTGTCCCCATATCATGGTCACTCATGATATTTAACATACGCATTGCCAACTGAATAACGCGCGTGCAAAGCACGAGCTTGGACAGCGGGTCACCCTCAACTACATTGAGCCTCTCTTTGCTGTTGTTTTGTGAGATGCGTTTTCAGAAAACAATATTGGTGAAGTGACCAAAAGTAAAAAAAAAACAACAAAAAGGTTGACAAAGAAGGAAACCCTA